TTAGGAAGAAGCTATGTCAAAAATGTAACAGCCCAGAACTGGACAGATGGCTCAGTGGTTAAGGGCACTTGCTGTTCTCCCAGGAGACACTGATTCCAGTCTCAGCACCTATGTAGGTGATTCACAGCTCCAGTTTTGCCTCCTTGGGCACATGCACACACATACAACACAAAAAAATTTAATCCCCCCCAACAAGAACCATGAAGAAGGCTTCTCTCTCCTCTCCTCCTCTTTCCTCCCCTTCCTGCCCCAATTCGCTCTGCTCTTCTCCGTCATCCTTGCTCTTTCTCTCCATGAGTAAGGTTTGTGTGTGTGTGTGTGTGTGTGTGTGTGTGTGTGTGTGTGTGTGTGTGTGTACACGAGCATGCTCTTGTGCTCTCATTTGCATGTGTGGAATGGGGAAGGTGGCTTTGTGGAAAATCTCTGTACTTTCCACTTAGTTTTGCTGTGACCATAAAACTGTTCTTAAAAAACAAAATCTGTTAAGAAAAATGACTGGGTCATCATCAAGGTATTTTTAGGCTCCTGCAGGTGCAGAAATTGGTGAAGACAGTCAGTCCATCTCAGCATTCTGCAGTGTAGCATAGGGGTCACCTTCGAGCATTTCCCCAAAGCACAGTGGGGATTTTCTTTTTTGCCTTTTTAAAAAAATGGTTTCTGTGGGGAAACATTGAGTCCTTTGAAGGCTCAGGGGCAGAGTCAGTTAACAGCTGTGACCCAGCCTCCTGAGGAGCCCCACAATGGCATGGGAGCACTCAGACTTTCTCAATACTACCTCCTGGAATCCAGACACAGGACAGGTCTGATGTCATGGGCTTCATGCCCTTTCCTATGACTTGGTTGCACACCTATCCTCACCCATTGTTGATACCGTCCCATTTCATGTTGTGTGTTTTATGTTCCTCTGCAGGACTTAATTGAGACATCATGAAAGCACTCTGTCCTCAGTCCTCACTCTCCCAGGATCTTCAGCTCAGTGGGTTTTAGTACAAGCGGCACACATAAATCATCTAAGATGAAACACTCAGGACACCAGCCACTGACATCTGAGATCCCAGTGAGTAGATCGGTGGGTAGTGTTCAGCTTTCTAGGTGACTGTAGTTGCAAACTCCAGGCTTGATGAGCCCTTGACATGTCCCCAACCTTCTACACTCTCCTCCAGCTAATCACAAAAGCAAAGATGGATGTATAAAATAGAACCATAAATATGAACACATGGAAAGATTAAAACACAATGCCACTATAAAACCAAGTTACAGACCATCACAACCCCAGTACCGTCACCTCCTTAGAACTGGAAGTTTGGTCTCAGCTCCTGCTGGACCCAAAGTAGTTGGAACCAAGTTTCCTATCTCACATCTCTTCCTCTGGCTCCTGCTTAGGCTCAGATGACCACACAGGTTGTATATTTTTTCTCTCCCCTCCCTTTCTTTCTGAAAACCTATTATGATCCCCAATACAAGATGCTAAGTAAATAATTGACTTTCCCCTACTGCCCCATTACCCAATCAGTCTAGCTACCTTAGAACCATGCTGCTGAATCAAATTCTGATATTCTAACACCACGTGTACTAGGGAGCAGATATAAACCCATAATATATTAAAGTGCTGTTTTCTGAGAGTGGGAGTCCTCTCAAACAGATGTGCTCCTAGGTCCCTTATTCTCTACTCCTGTGAGACTCTGCCTGCCTCTCCAGTCTCACTCCTCCCCATCCTCCTCCCTCCCTTGATAGCAGACAGACAGAATCATAAGTCCTGGGGACACAGCTTCCTCTCTGAATACTCCAGCTTCTTCTAGTCCAGGGGCCTCTGTATTTGGTAGATTCCTTTCAGGAGACATTCAGTGGAATACACATGTCTTGGTATGTCTTGGTTTCATCTCTAATAAGCCTTTGTCCTAGGGACAGTCCCTGAGAATGAGCTAAAACTGTTCCCTCTGATATAGAAATTCTATGCAGCATTGTCACTCAGCAGACAATTCTAGCAGCCAAAGTTACAGGGTGTGATTGGTTCATAGTGGGGAGACTAGATTCTGCTGAGGTCTCTGATCATCCCTCATGCCAATTTCCTAGTCCCAAATATCATGATTGGGAAGCCAAGCGCTGTCACGGCATTCTCTCCTCGGAAGGAATCAGCAGATTAATGGACCAGAATGGATGTCTCTTTACATCTATTCCCCCCTGCCTCCAGCTTCTCAGGAGCTAGACTTCAGAAATGGACCCTAGGCCCAGCCTTAGAAGTGCACTTAGCACCTCCTTAAATTGTGATAAATTTTAACATGATAAGGAAGGTATATCTGGGCTGAATGAACTGGTGAGCTTGAGAAAAAATGACAAGCCAGCTTTCAAAGTGAGGAAATAATAGTTTTTATTAATGAAAGTATACACAGTCAAAGTCAGACAACCATTCACATCTGATTGCCCTCAAGATTATGACACAGCTCTCAGAGCAGGACTGGTTCTATTGCTTCATAAGATGTATGCAGTTTCATAAGTTTAAAGGTTTAGTCAAGGTGGGCATGAAGATGCCACACATCTTTAATCCCAGCTCTTGGGATGCAGAGGCAAAAGGATCTCTGAGACATTGAGGCCAGCCTGATCTACATAGGGGGTTTTAGCCAAGCTGGGGCTATACAGTGAGATCCTATTCTAAAAACATAAAGTATAATTGTTAAGTATTATAATGAACTATTTCACAGAAGGCTATAGATAACAGAATCAATGGTGTCCTGAAAGTCCAAGATTAAAAGAAAATTCAACAAAATTAACAAGACTGGTTTATCTGTGGGAATATTAACAAAATTCATCTTCAAACTTTCTATCATCCTCTCAATTGATGATTTTTTCTATAGTGTAACAAAAACACAAACACCAACTATATCAAAGGGGAACAAGTTTATCTTAAAAACCTATCAGACACAAAGAAAATAGATTCCTGGTTGCAATAATATGGAAATCATTGACTCAGCTCTAACTCAACATCTGCTATTACTACAACATCTGCTAGGGTAGAGACGTGCATTCTGGAATGTTTTCCACTGCTTGAAGACTGGTCACCCCTCCTTGTGATGATCACTGTCTACCAAGGTAAGTATGAACATGATAACAGCAAACAGATGGGGAAAACGGACATAGAGGTTACACTGTTGTTACTGTTGACACCTTGTATTGGAGCCAAATCCATATATATGACCTGTTTTCCACTGAGTCCCACATACTTTCACAGAATGTCACTTGTCACCATGTTCTTGAGTTCAAGCAAGATTTGGAAATGCTACGTGGGACAGTCAGACAGATTTGCAGACCCCTTCATGTCTATCATGCATCTTTAGGAAGACTGAGTAACAGAGCAGGCCCTGCAGTCACCAGGCAGGAATCAAGGAGGCCCGAAGAGGGCAGTAGTGGATGTCGCCCTCTGGTGGCCTCACCGCTATAGAACTATCTTGACAAGTATTTCTAGAAAAGCTACAAATCAGGGGCATATTGCCAAAGGCCTGTTTTTATATGTAGTTGACTCAAATTTAAGAAAAAGAAAATTAAGAAATTAAAAAACATCACTGTATTCCAAAGTCAAAAAGAAAAGAAAAAAAGGAAACAAGCCAGAGTAATTTAAACACAATCATTTTTAGAGCATAAAAGGGAAGCCCCATTTGGCAAACCCAGAATGCAACTTCCTAATATCTGATCTCACCAAGGAACCCCCAGTAAGACACATACTTCCTATAACTCTGTAGAACAGCAGGGAATGTGGACTGAGCTCCAGCATCCCACTCTCCTATGAGCTCAGGGCCTCTAACTGGAGTCAGGGATTACTCAAACTGAAATAAAAATTATTACCCTCTTGCAACTCTGCTCCTCTCAACAACTGGACTGACAATGAAGATACCAACACAACAGCCTTTGTTAACTTTTAACAAAACCACTATTTCATTGATTGTGACAACTCAATCCACTATGAAAAAATGCTTTGTCCTTCTGAATAAATTTAAATGTAAATATGATCTGGAGACAATTATACATTTAGACTCTGAATGAACCAGTGATATTTCCAAACTCTGTCACACCTGGACTAGGACTTCTCTCAGGCAGAGCCTGTGTCCTGCTCCCTCCTTTCCCCTTCATTTCTGCATGGTCTCCTTCTAGCACCTAGTTCAGAGCCCAGCAGGTGAGTACAGGAACACTGAGCCTCAAGTCAGAAGTATAGCAGATATAGTACTAATGAACTCAATCCTTTGATCCACTATTTTCTTCCCCTAATGCCTGCCTGAGCCATATTCACCATGGAAACTTCTCCTGCTATGAAACACCCATCCTTACCCAATGATCAACCACATATTAATGTATCATATTTCCAGAGTTATGAGAAAACATAACCAACTCTAATGGTGACATTATACTCACTTATATTTATCTATGAGGGAAATTAACACCTGCTTGTTTCCATGATCGTATCCCTTGGATAGGGGAGAGATAGTGACAATTCAAATTGCAATAAAATAGATAAAACATGATCATGAAATACTTCTAAATTCAGGATGCTCTGTGCACCAATCTCCCCCCCCCTCTTTTTTGTTTAACTTTTCAATCGTATTCCTCTCTTAATGGTTTTAATAGCCAAGGCAGGAGTCTATCTCCTGTATTAACAATGACTATGTTGACTAAAGGACACATAGCATTCTAAAATGTTCATGTTTGAGAGAATTGCTGCAGTGAGTGGAGAGACTGAGTCAGTGGTGAAAAAGAATTAGGAGCTAGGTGGTTGTGGCACACGCCTTTACTCCCAGTACTTGGGAGACAGAGGCAGGCTGATCTCTGTGAGTTCAAGACCTGCCTAGTGTATAGAGCTAGTTCTAAGACAGCTGTTACACAGAGAAAACCTGTCTCACAAAAAAATAAATAAAAATAATTAGGATGACATTAACAGTGAGTTTGAGTATAAACAGCTAAGAGTAGCCCTCTCCACCACTTCAGGATGAACGCACACAGAAAATAGTCCTGGAGCTGTAAAGGGTGTTTGCAATATCAAATCCAGTTGCGGTGTATCCAGTCTCAGGAAGAAGGCCCCTCAGAGTGCTCCTGAGACTGATTCTTTAGGGTAAGGACTGGGTCTTCAATTATGTAGACATTGTCTTCAACTCTGGACTGCATACTCGCTATGCTTTCCAAAGCTCCAATCTTAGAGACACGATATGCTACCAAGCTGCAGAGAGAGAGAGAGAGAGAGAGTGAGGCAGATGCAGAAGAAAAATCAAAAGGTCACCTTTCAGGTCTGAGCATAACATTCATTCATGATGTATGCTCAGGTCTCCAGGAGCCCCATTCACAAAAACAGTACCACACAGGGCCCTCCAATTCTATTAGGTCATAGAAAAGTTTGTTCCATAGGCATCAGACTAACCCAAAAAAATTTTTTTTTAAAGAAGCTCCTGTTGGAGTGGGAGATCTAGAGAGACAGATATCTAGGCTCCAAACCAAGATACCTAATCAGACTGGGCGTTTTGGGAGTGGTCTAGGAACTGGATGACACGTGTATTTACTTTGCATTGTGATGCTTTAGAAAGGCTTAAGAGGGCCTGGTGACCTGAGTGAGATCCCTGGAGCCCATGGAAAAAGCAGAAGGAAAGAGTCAGCTCCAAAGTGTTGTCCTCTAACCTCCACAGGTGCCAGGACACTTCACCACACACACACACACACACACACACACACACACACACACACACACACACACCATGTATACAATAATACAAAATTGTCTTTATTGAAAAAGAATGAATTTTGAAACCTGCATAGCATCTACATCCTCTAACATTAAGCATACAGTAGAAAAACATGTCAAGTTAACAAAGCAGTGTCATTTCACTGTAGCTGCTGGTGCATGTCACAATTTCAGAGAATACTGCATGACTCACAATCGCAGACACACAGGCACACAAACATCAGGCACTGGACTAAAAGGAATTTGGGGAGAGCACTGCAGGTGTTTGTGAATGGCCCATCCCAACAGCTGTGGGAGGGCCTTCACTTGGAAGGGTTCATTCTATGCCCATGTTAATCAGGGTAGGCACAGTAAACTCATATTTGAGCTTCTAGAACTCATGGAGGAGCAAATCAGAGGAGAAAACAGACTAATCCTGGGGTGTTGTTTTCACATAGTGGAGTTTTGTCATTTGTGGCCATTTCTACTCTGAAATGTAGACCAAAATGATCATCTGCAGTCAACCATAAGGAACACCTGTGCTGAGAATTACACAGAACAAGAGATGAACGTCCACTCTGTCCGGGACTGTTTCCCTACATGGGACTCTTTCCCTACATGAGGGTTAGGACACTCATGAATCAGTGTGATATAACTGACAGAAAAAGTCATGAGAGAATGCCAGGATGTGTTATGTAGTGGTAGTTTGGTTTTGTGGCTTTCTTTCTTGCAATTCACTCATCTGTTCATTTTGAGTTTGTCAGGGTCTCACTATGTTTCCCTGGCTATCCTGTTTCTACGTACATAGACCAGACTGGCCTGGACTCAGAGAGACACAACTGCCTCTTAAATTAAAGATGTTTGGCAGCATACCCGGTGTTATTTACTTAATTTCAGACAGAGTGGTTCTAGAAGTCTGGGCTGGACTTAAAACAATAAAAGTCCTCCTGCATTAGCTGGATAGGTGTTGTTGAGATAAATAGGTGTGTGATAATAGGTGTTGAAATAATAGGTGTGTGCCATCTCACCTACCTTCTCCCCTCCTGCTCATGTGTTGTGTTTTCTCCAGCTTTTGCTTTTAAATTAAATGATTGAAAAGTAACTTTCGGGACTGAAGAGTTGATCAGCATATAAGCATGCTTATTGTACAAACAGGAGAACCAGAGTTCAGATGCCACCCCCAGGTAACAGGTGGAACATCTCCTGCATGCTTGCAACTCAACACTAAGGGAGACAGAGGCAGGATTGTGAGTTCTAACCTGGGCTATGCTGTATAGCAAGTTCAAGGGCAGTCTGCACCACATAGGGAACCCTGCCTCAAACCAACCAATCAATCAATGTATCAATTAGTAAAAAAATGATTTAGGGACAAAAGAGAACATGGAGAAACAGTCTCCAGATTGTTAGTTCAAAAAGAATCAACACTGGGGTAGGGTCTATGCCCTGCCCTGGATGAAATGACAGACTATGGACACCCCCATGGAGGGCCTCACCCTCCCTGGGGAAATGAGGGGATAATGGGAGGGTTGGTGGGAGGGCATGGGAGGAGGGGAGGGAAAGGGAGAGGGACCTGGAATTGACATGGGAAGCAACTTTGTTTCTAATTTAAATTTAAATAAAAAAAGAACACAATCCATGCAGCTTACCTCAGAGACCCTGACTTCTTTTTCAAAAGGATGCTTCCTAAATTGGGATGGGAAGAGGTGGGAGAAGGGGTGTGAGAAATTGAAAAAAAAATTGAACATGTCATCAGAATTGTGATATTTTCTCCTAATCAAGAATATTGCTTCTGCTTACGATGGAGCCATCCCCAGTAACTTTGGGTAACTCCTTCCTGTACCTTGCAAGAAGGTTCTTCTTTCCATTCATTGTCTGCTATATCCATCCACATGACCTAATTTGCTAGAGTGGCATTGGTAAATTATTGTTCACTGAGACAAACAAAAAGTCCAAGTTTTTTTTTTCTAATGGGTTGTTAGAAAACAAACCCGTGAGGGAAAAATAAACAACTTTGGACTAAGAAAGGAACTCACTTGTGGTATTTTACTTAATTTCTAAGTAATCCTTTCTTTTGGACATGATCTGATATACACCCCAGGCTAGCCACAGACTTATAGAATTCTGACATGACAGTAGAGAAATCTTAAATAATCTTTTTTGATGAATATCTTTGAAATAATAAGAGGGAGCTTCCGAAATCTGTCAGGCACATTCTTATGCCCCATTTGCTGTGGATCAGGTTAGTAAGGTGCTTTATAAAGTCCATGGCTAACAGTTGTAAAGTCCATGAAAAGGGCCATGTAGGCCTGGGTTTCACCTTTAAATAGTCTGTCCCAGAATTAGCCAAGGAGCTTCCCACCAATGTTTCATTAGCATCTTCTACTAAGTACATTCCAGAACATTCCACAGTATGATCATGGTAAACAAGTGAGACCCTTGGGTAGGAAAAGAGAGAATACATCAAGGGTCTTATAGTGACCTAAAAATGTCAAGCCTATCCAAAATCTCTTGTGTCATAGTATTTTATTTCTTTTATGGATAATGTAAATAATGTTTCCTTTTTGACAGCAACAACTGAAAGACAAAGGACAGGGTTAGGAAACCAGTGTTGCCAAGGACTGCAGCCTATTCCTGTGAACCCAGCACTTGGATGCTGGAGGCAGGAGGATCCTGAGGAAGGTCAGTAGCAGTATGGACTCCGTGAGGAATCTTTGGACACATCACAGCAATGGTTCAAGATCACCGAGCAGAGCACACACCAAGTACCAGAAATCACCCGCAGAGTTTTGTGGGTGCTAATACATCCCTTGGGGAATAGAGTGGTTACCATGTGTGTCTTGGATCTGAAGACAAGGAAGTCATGTGGACTCAAAGCCCCTGTGGCATGTGCACGTGCCTTAAGGCAGTCAGAGAACCCTGGATCTCCTTTGTTGGGACAGTTGTGAAATTACTTACTGGTGATAACCACGGTGCACACAAGCAGCAGCAGCAGGGCAGCAATGGAGATGCCAACATAGAATCCCTTGGTCATGTTCTTTTGCCGATTCCATGAAGGAATGGATTCCTAAGGAAACAATGAATAAAATAATGGTAGTAATAAATATACAGCAGTAGACACAGGGGTACCAAGTGAGTGGAACAGAAAACACATGCTTGACATTAACCTAGACTCTAGGTCCTAGATTTCATCTTTAATGGCCTGTGGCTAGTCTGGAATGTGTAAGAAGACATAATGACTTGAGGTGGTAAAGGCAGTGGAACTCCTCCAAGATAATGGAAATCAGTGTCTTTGACAATGGTGGAAACCTGTTCTATGTTGAATGAGGTGATTACCTCAGTCAAAATTGTAACCACATACTTAATATGGGCTCAAACATCACGTATATGAATGTGTCTGCTTTAATTATTTGTAGAGTATTCTCTAAAAGCATCACCTTAGGTTATCAAAAGAGAAAAAAGAATAGCTCATCTCTAAGTTAACTTACTCTCAGTGTGCTCAGCTCCTGGTCTGGTCTTTTGTCACAAAACCTACTTATCTTGTAAATGTGTCTTTATAAACATCTGATACCAAATGTTCAGCATGGAAGAATGTACACACAGCTGGGCAGGTTATATGAACAATTTTAGGACTACATATATATGTGTGTGTGTATTAAATAAAAACATGCAATATAGTATTCATATACATTTTATATGTATATTAATAAGCTATGTTATATATTAACATTTTATAGATTATATGTGTTAATATATTATACATTTATTAGCAACTAAAGTAAAAGAGACTGAATTAGAAAGAAAGCAAGGTGAGGGTTTGTGGAAGGGTTTGGAGGGGGTTGAGAAGAAAGGAAACAATACAATTATATCTAATAATGTTCTAAAAATAGTAGGAAGACTGCTCCTGGATGCAGTCTGATTAACAGCCAGTGATCAGACAGAAATGTAGAATCTCCCATAGTGCCCTGGTGCAGGTGATCAGGGATCAGCACATACTGGAATAAGCAGGAGACAGGCTGGCAGCAGGTGAGGCCCCTCTAATAGCTTAGCATTAATCTACTAACCCTCACCAGAGCCCATGGATGGTTTAACTGCAAGGAAAGTGAGGAGCAGGGACCAGGTCTTAGTCTGTGTATGAGCCTCATCTCTGGACTCAGAATCCTGGCTCCTCTGCTTAGTCAGGGGGAGCATGGACCAGTTAGTTAAGCTCTGTGAGCCCTGACATACATCCTCAAACAGTGTGTTCAGTGGGTTCTCAGGAACAGGATTCTCAGGTATTTTTGACAAACACTAGGGAGAATATAGAAGAAAATAAGGTTTGTTTATTATTCTGACAGCGTCCCCTGATCCTAGGCTGGCCTGAATCTCACAAGTTGACAATGACCTCGAACCTCTGATCTTCCTTCCTAAACCTTTTGAGTGCGTGCACATTATGTGTGTCCACCATACCATACCACATGAACATTTACTTTACACCATTTTCCTGATTATGAATGGCAGAGATGCTTATCCTATCTCATTCATCTTCACAAAGTTTCTTCAATTTTTCTCATGAGATAGAATCCAGGAAGTTGATCTACTGGTTCCAGATGTGTGCTACTATTGATAGGCCTGGGAGTGCACACCCTAATCCTAGGATCTGAGAGGTGGAAGGAAGAGGGTACATTGAAGTGTCAAAGCCAGCCTGAACTCCAAGGGATTCTGTTTCAAACAAACAAACACCCTGAAAACAAACGTGTGCTCTCTGTGTATTGCTTTTGATGCACCTAAGCACAGCTTGACATTTTAAGAGTAAGATGCTCCCACAGCTTATTTTGAATTTAACCCTAAGTTATACCTCCGTGTTGCTAAGCATGACTGTGTCTGAGGTAGCTGAGGTTAAGAATGATCTTCATATGCAGTGCTGTTTAGCTCTAAACAGAACCAGAAGTTTTCTCCTTAGTAACATGTACCTAATGGTTTCTGATATTTCACTAGAATATACAGACTCTTTCCAAAACTGTCAGACCACTGGGTAATGATGTCAGTTACGTAATTACACTTTTAGTGTAAGCTGGGCATGTGACACAGGTCTGTATTCCCAGGACTCATATTGTGAGTTCTAGGCCAGCCAGAGGTGTGAAGTGAAATGATGTCTTAAAGGAGGAGGGGGGCAGTTATGGTGGGACTCACTCCTGTTATTTGAATTCTTGAAAGACAGAGACAATAGGTCAGGAGTTCATGGTTATCAAAAGCTCTTCAGTAAGTTCAAGGACAGCTGGACTACATGAGACCCCTCTCGAAAAATAAGCAAAAGAAACTGACATTCAGCCTATGTGCTATGTTCTGACTGGCAATAGGTATAAAAACCTTAGGCCTTTTGTCCCTATATAGACATCTCTACCTTGTATTGAAGGTTTTGTCGTTGCTTATTGGTTTTTGGGAATTCAAACCCAGGGTCTTGAATATGCTAATAAGGGCTCTGCTGCTTCCAACAGCCAATAATCCTTACAACCCCCTATCTGGCTTTTTTCTTACCACAACCACCATTTCTACAATGCTAATTACATATACTAAAACAAACTGGGTGTCTTCCTGCAGTCAAAAGAGAAAAGAACTATTGGTACATTTACTTCTATTTTAGAGACAGAACTCTGGCAAGAATCCTGGAAGCAGAACGCCTTACTATACAGAGAAATCTAGGAAAATTCATGCAAAATTAAAATGTCCAAGACCTCAATACCTTCTGTGAAGGTTTGTGTGTAGGAAAAAAATACTACCAGTGGGCTCTACAAAGAATGGTTATTGTAGAAAAACAATATTAGGGAACCCTAAATAAACACCTTGAATTCAAACATCCTTTGTAAGTATCAAACTCTCAATTTATTTATATTTATATATTTATTAATTTATTGCATTTTTTGAAACAGGGTGTCACTATATAGCCCCTATTGCCTAATGGTCCAGGCTGGCCTCAACTTCTGATATCTTGTATTAACTTCCTGAGTCCTAAGAATAAGGAAGATACCACTATATCTGACTCTTTTCTTCTTCTGTTATGATGCAAATATCTGTGAACTAAATTTACAGACAACATCTTTAAATACAAATAGCTTCCTAGAAGATATACAAATGAACATGGCTAATAGACTGGGGAGGAATATGCTTACAGTGTAATTATTCCAAGAGTCGTCCGAAGATGTCATAGTGTTATTCCAATCTGCTCAACAAGAGGAAAAATTAATTATAAATACAAGAATTTAGATATTTTTCTACATATGCAAATATTACCCACAAGGCCAAAGTGTCATATACTGTGTAGGGTGGGATTTAACATAGCAGGAGATTCACTGAACAGAAAGTTTTGAGCATTTATATATTCAAAGTATATTTGAAATGTCTATCTTATAACAAGGAATCTATTGTTTTCATTATGTCCATTCTCTGTGAATGAAGCAGACATATATAAGGCTAATATAAGGGTTGTAATGTCCTGACAAGGAGCCCTTCATTGCACTTTACAGATAATGGAGCAGATTAAAAAGAGGGAATGTTTCCATAAGTCACACAAGCATGAGCCAAGACAGAGATAGAATAGGTAAAAAGACGACAGTAATCAATGAGTCACAGAAGGGAAGCCCAAGTCAGGGTGCGGGGAATGGCTCATGGTCCCAGGATGGACAGAAGGGTCATTGAATTGCTTATTCTTTTGACAGAGACAAGAAACATTGGAGAAACACTGATACAAGACAGAATTTCCTACTGAGGCAATCTATGCCATTCACAGACATCTGCAACCAAGTTGGCACAAGCAACAACAAGTCACAATTGCTAAAGGTCAAATGATGTGGACACTCCTGGTTCTAGCCTTCTCTCCCATTCCTGACTATAGTAAATATCCCTCTGAAACCTACATCACAACATTGTTTGTGGAAGAAAAATATTTAAATATGTTTGTTGTAAACTACATCTTGGAATATTGTTTCCAAACTAACTAGGCAAGAGGGATGGGGCACTTCCTAGAAACCTCCAGAGATCCAACTTGAAAGAAATTGACATCACATGTATACTCAAGGTAAAGAAACCTAAGTGCTCTTCATGGGGAAATCCATATGTGTGCCCCAGTGTATCCTATTCCTTTCCTAAGCACCTCTCTTCCTAATGACCCCTGTGCTTAGGATCTGAGTTAAATATTGACACACTTTCAACACTCCATCAATCACATTGACTGATCCTGGCATTCTTTTCTTCAAAGAAGCCACACAGCCCAGTTTGGCCTGAATGGTGGAGCTTGTGCAAAGGGATCTCTGAAGGATGCTGAGGGCTGGGGGGTAGAATGTAGCCTCTGTCCCTGCCATACTTACAATGTCAGATCTGTATTGGTGCAGAGGGTGTGTGCTCTACAACAGCTTTATCAAGACCTGGGCCATCCAATGGGATCAGGAAGGAGAACATAGTTACCTGGGAGAGTATAGGATGGGGTTTCTGTCACCTCAGCTGTTGTCTGATGTGAATCAAATGTATTTGGTTCTGGAATGAGAACAATGCAAGCAAGCATTCTTTCAGATTTAGAGAATGGCCCCCACCAAGGAAAAGAGAAACAAAACTTACCCTCACCACCCCAGTGCTCCCCTAGCCTCCTAAGAAGGAATGGCTCCTTCCTACCCATTTCTGAATCTGCTTACTCCTCTGAAAAATGTATCCAAAGATGGTCACTGTGTGCCATTGTTACGCTGTCCTGAGCAAGTGAGATCTGTGTTCTAATAACTTGGACAGCTTTATTGATATTCAGCATTGTTTTAACTTTCCATTCTGTATTCCTGAACTCCTCTAAAACATAGCCAATATTAAAACATAGAGAATTAAAGACTCGGGCAAGATTATGATTTATCAAGGCAAGGGTCATTATACCTACTAGGAGAGGGACCTGGATGTTTCTCACAACCCTCTTCAATACAGGCCATATTCAAGTCCCAGATCACACTTCTTTCCATGGAGATATGCTCACTGAACAACATGGAATAAATGGACCATTTCATCACTGAGTCCTTCTCAAGGTAGCAGCATCACTCTGGTGATGGTTCTGACCCTACATCAGCCTGCCTTGTGCTATGGAATTCTCCTCTCTCTGTCTCTGTCTCTGTCTCTGTCTCTCTCTCTCTCTCCCTCTCTCTGTCTCTGTCTCTCTGTCTCTGTCTCTCTCTCCCTCTCTCATCATTGGTTGATTTGATTGACTGGCTGAGACAAGGTCTCCCTTCTTCCATCCACCATCCCTTAACTAAAAGAGATTTCCTGTTTCTTGACTCATCTTTCAGTTCTCTCCAAAGGCTTCCATGAGGAACACTTCATGCAGCCCGTGTTTCCCTCTTTCTCCTGGAGTCTCTAGGTTGTTCCCACCAATCCCTGACTTCCCATGTAGAACTGAGCACTTGCCTCTCTGAGAGTTCTCTAAATGCTTCCTTTTCAGAACAAGGGAGGATCTTGGAGAGGGTTGGTTGTGGCCAAACAGGAATTCCTAAATCTGCATTCCTCACAGCCCCTCAGAGTCTTTCTCTATCCCCTACCTCACTCCAACCTGATCCTTACATTTGAATAACACCCTCCTGTTCTACACTACTGTTCTCCTCCAGCTTACCCTGGCACTGAAACATTTAAGAGGATGTGACTGTCGTTATGGACTAATCATAGGACAACACAAATGTCAGACAGTTACATGTTACCCAATTCAGTTCTTGATAAAAGGCGTCATGAGTTTATTTGCTTCCACAGCCTGGGTCACTTTCTCACCTGTTCTTACAACCTCACACTCAATATTCCATGAGTACTCTCAGGGGAAATGAGGATGAAAACAAGAAGCAGATGTGAAGATATGTGTCCTTATCTTACAGTAGCCAAAGTAGCCTTCTCCCTGAAAAGTTTACTCATCCTCCACTAACAATAGAAAAATAAGTTTACACTAATTCACCAAAGAGGTCATATGGACTCATATACCAACACTTCCCTTCTAAATCTCAGTTTTCAGTGCAGTCAATAATCTATCCATGTTCTCCAAACTCAGCCCATGAGCCCATCCCCTGAAGCAGACTGAAACTAAGTATTGAAAAGTTCTCTCAATCCTGAAAGATCTTCACAGATCCTCCATCTGTGCAGTCACCTGGAACAAAGAGATTTTCTCACAAATCCTATGTGCCACATGACTAATTATAACCTAGAGGCACCTGCACACATGGGGTGTAGCCCAGTCCTTCAGAATCCTCCTGCTTGAAAGTACCTGAAGGCCACAGAGGGAAATAAATACCAGCCATCAGATTACTCACAACAAAAGGCTCTGTGTTTTTATCTCTTGTAAGAATCCAGCCCTACTCCAGGCGATGGACAAGTTTTAGGAAGCTCTGAGAACCCCTCTAACATCTTTTCACTCCTAGATGTAGAAGGTTTGAACCTAAGCTTGTCATCAGAATGATAAACTTCTCCCCATCTGTAAGTCAAGGTAGTCCCCATTAATATTAACTTGTAGGCAATTTGAAGTATGAACTACATGACCTCACTCGAAAGCATGAGCATGTTAAATCACTTCCTAAAGCCTCTGAATTTGGTGTGTGTGTGTGTGTTATCCCTACAAAGTGCACATATTGCACTTTTCACACTACGTGAATAAATTAAAAGATCCTTAAAGTAAACTTTTACAAGGCATTCACTGTCTCCTTAAAGGTTGGTGTCATGATGCCTTTCCAGTGAGGATGTGGGAACAGTACAAACCATCTCCACATCCATGCTCAGGGCAGCAGTTCTGACCCTGCAGTCAGAAGAACAGGTTCGAACTCAAGTGAACAGGGACAGAGTCTGAGCCACTTTCTATCTTCATAACTCTACCATGAACTTTCTGACTCTGTCAGTTCCTGTCCCTATAAAGTAGGAACGGATCACAGCTATATAGGGCATAATTATGTGACAATTAAGGATTGCATTATGGAGCCTGGAGCATACATCCTAATGTACAGGAAATGCTAAATGTTAGCTTCATTGAACTATGGCTTCAGCTGCATGGACCAATTTCAGAAAGATGCAAAGGGTCAAGGGTCTCCATACCCTAACCTTGGGTCCTTAGTTTTTCATCAGAAAGTCATGCCAAGCTGATCCAGAGTCCCTCCATCCTCATCAGCTGCCTTAGATCAATGATCCACCTAAGTCTGGCTAATAGTGAATCCCCTGGAAATCTCAAATAAAGAGATAGTATCCTCCACCTTTAAGCTCTTACACCCAGAGGGAATGTAAGTTAAGACTGGAAAATTACAGACTTTGTGAAGCTGTTGTTGGGACCCAGCTAAGAACTTTTCACCCATATTATACTCCTGACTTGACTTAAGTGTCTGTTTGTCCTACAGCTGCTGATAAGAGGGACTCTGGGTCCTTGGACCACATTGGGTTTTACCTGGTGTGTGAGTCTGTGTTTGTGTTGGTGTTGTAGGAGTCGAGGTGGAGACTCTGGGTGATGTTGGTACATGTGTGGGTCTCGTTGATATTGTCGTGGGTTTCACTGTAGTTGTGACTCTTTCTGTAGTTGTGACTCTTTCTGTAGTTGTGACTCTTCTTGTAGTTGTGGGTCTTGTTCTAGTTGTAGGTCTTGTTGTAGTTGTGGGACTTGTTGGAGGGCTTGTTGGAATTTCTGGATTTGGAAATCAAGATGAAACAAGGATGAGTCAACAAGAAGGGACAAGAGCTTCTGTTGTAGCACCAGTGAGAGGTTGTGGCTAGAGAGACTCCTCTCCTGAACTTCAGTTCTTTGTCATTGACCAACTAGGACAGGGCAGGGCAGGGCTGTGGGGACAGCTCGCCAATAGGAGACAGCTGCTCAAATGACATGGAGATGAGAAAAGAGCCAGTGTTCCTAAGGACACTTTATAAATGACAGCTGTCAGGTCCTCAGATCTCTCACCATCTGTGTGACACTGAGAGGGTATAGGGGGGCTGGGGCTGCTCTCACTGGTGACTCACTTCATACTCAGTTTCCAGGTCCAGCATGTTCACTTCTGTCAGTCCCAAGAGGACAGACATACCATATAGCCCCACATCTTAGCATGCAGATCCCACACAAGTCCCGACACAAAAGAGATTTGAACATTTTGGTAGAGTGGACATTGTCTTTTACGGTTCCTTCCAATCTAAGGGAGACAAGGTGAATACCCCTTATTCAAAAATGCTTGGTACTCAGAGTTTAAGAATTTAAATCTTGGGGCTGGAGAGATGGCTCAGAGGTTGAGAGCACTGGCTGCTCCTCCAGAGGTCCTGAGTTCAATTCCCAGCACCCACATGGTGGCTTATAATCACCTATAGTGGAATCTGATGATGCCCTCTTCTGGCATAGTCATACATGTAGATAGAGAACTCATATATAAAATAAATAAATCTTAAAAAAAAGAATTTAGGGGGCTGGAGAGGTGGCTCAGAGGTTAAGAGCACTGACTGATCTTCCAGAGGTCCTGAGTTCAATTCCCAGCAACCATGTGGTGGCTCACAACCATCTACAATTCGATCTGGTGCCCTCTTCTGGCATAACACTGTATATGTAATAAATAAACAAATCTTTAAAAAAAGAATTTAAATCTTCCTTAACAATTTGGAATATTTTCATATAGATAACATCTTATGGGTTGGGTTCACCTCTAAACATGGATTGATATAGCATTCATATAACTACACATTACATAGATAGCTTAAAAAGTAACTTCATAAACTGTGCATAATTCTGCACATTATAGTATCATGGCACTGAATTTTCCAGGTGCTTTATCAAGTCCATACTCAAAAGATTCCAGTTTTTGGATCACTATAGACTTGGAATTTTTGGATTAGTTGGGTTCAAACCGCAATTTACTAATCAACAGCATCCAAAGGGCATTAAGAATCTAAATAGCGCCGAGCGCAGGTGGCACACGCCTTTAATCCCAGCACTCAGGAGGCAGAGGCAGAGGCAGGTGGATCTCTGTGAGTTCGAGGCCAGCCTGGTCTACAGAGCCGATTCCAGGACAGCCTCCAAAACAATACAGAGAAACCCTGTCTCGGAAAAACCAAAAAAAAAAAAAAAAAAAAAAAAAAAAGAATCTAAATAGCTACCAATGGTCTCAGTATGCAGAGTTCCAAAACAGGAACTAAGGCAAAGAGGTGCTAGAATCGACCAGGATTTATACTGTCTGTAGCAGTAGACATATGTTCCCTGTAAGTAAGCTCCTTCGAATTTAACTGTGCTAACTATAAAATAAACCTCAGCAAGGAGAAATATTTGCTTTGGAATCTCCTACTTGTGGGGAATATAGTGTAATTCCTCAATCCAGTGTGTGTTTATCCTGAAAGGAAGAAAAAATGGTAGTATTCCTATTTTGTGTAGGGAAGCAGCCGACGTAGAGCTTCTCTTCAAATTCAATGCATGTATTTATTCACTTACTTGTGTTTGTGTGATGTCACAAACGTGAATGTCAGGAGATAACTCGTGAGAGTTCACTATCTCCTTCTACTGTGTGGGCTAGGGATTGAACTCTGGTCATCAAGCTTAGCAGTGGGCAACTTTCCCCACTGAGCCATCTCACTAGTCCTTGGGCCACCCTTAAGTGGAGGTTCTGCTGAAAGTATTTTGTTTCAGGAAGATAAAAATGGGAGCAAGTGCTCATGTCAATCGTTTTGAAAGTCATTGCTGACAACATAGTTAGGAGTGACTGTGGTTGTACTACAGTAAAACTGTTCACACCAGTGAGTGGATATGTTTATAACCTGGCCTGGCGAGTTTGCTGAACAGTCTAATCTGTGGGCAGAGGCTTGAGCACAAACCCTCCTTGGAGAGTAGAAATCTCTGAGGTGAGAGAAAAGCAAGCATGGGAACAGTCTAGTCAGAAGATCACTATGACAACAAAACCAGGAAAGAATCAACAGCTCAGGAGCTTTGCTTTTCTTGCTCTGGGGCTTTATTCTCCTAGATAGATGGGAAAGTCCAAAGAGCTGATGAGGGGTCTAGGACCACTGGAGAGGAAGCTCTGTGTGTTTAAACCAGGAGAAAGTGTAGACATGTTGTTAAGGATGAGACAGAGTGCTGGATCACTTACGGACTCACTGAGTGGTCAGACAGTGACTTTGTAAACACTGACCTGTTAACAAATTTCTACACCTCATGAAATCATCAATTAATGAATTAAAATTAGCAATTTTATGCTATGATGCCATGCCTAATCACTTTCTGGTGCTGAGAATCTAACCCCAGGGTTAGAGGCAGGAATGTGTGCTGACAAGTACCTTCCCAAGCTACATCCAATAACTTGGTTATTGTGTGTTTGGAGTCCTAGGAACAGAAGCCAAGGCTTCCGGCATGCTATACATCCCCTAACGCTTTTTTTTTTAATCTGCGTATGTGTTGTGTGAAGTGTTTATCCTCCAATAATTAGGTGCCCTTGGAGACCAGAATCATTCAACTTCAGGCAGGTAAATAATACAATTTCAGACCTGTGCTAGGCATTTATGTCTCTTTCCCAAAGCTGTCTATATACATCATTCTTTGCACACTTTACGACCATCTTCTTCTGGCTTCCCTACATTGTTTTCCAGTCATAGTTTTGTAAGGCAGGTCCTTGCCATGTCAGAATGAACTTCACCCTAACTAGGTGTGGTCACAAATTCTTATAATCCCAGCACTCAGGAGGCTAAGGACTGGGTAAGAAGTTCCAGGTCAGCCGGGCGGTGGTGGCACACGCCTTTAATCCCAGCACTCCGGAGGCAGAGGCAGGCGGATCTCTGTGAGTTCGAGGCCAGTCTGGACCAACAGCCTCTAAAACAATACAGAGAAATCCTGTCTCGTAAAAAACAAACAAACAAACAAAAAAGTTCCAGGTCAGCCTGATTTAAAAAGCAAACCCCAGTATCAAAATCGATAAATCGCTCAATAAACAGGGAGCCAGAATAATGGCTCAAGGGTAGAGGCACTTAGCTTACAAGACTGGACAGCTGACTTACGTGCCTAGAACTCACATGAAGACATAGAGTACCAACCCCACAAGTTTGCCCTCTGACAAAGTCATCATGGTATGCAAATGTACCACACATACTTCATTCACACACAGCCACAGAATAATAATGCAGTTTTAAAAATCCAGTTAAACATAAAAGTGAATTAACGGATGAATGAATATCAAAGTCTATAAGTTCATAAAATAAAGAATAATGTTCTTAATTTTAAAAGATAAAGAAGTTATTTCTATCATTTCTACTGTTGATCTCTTTTTCTTTTTGGTTTTTTCAAGACAGGGTTTCTTTGTGTAGATTGGAGCCTGTCCTGAAACTCATTCTGTAGATCAGGCTGGCCTGGAACTCGAAGATATCTTCCTGCCTCTGCCTCACAAGTGCTACACCGTGAGGCCTCTATTACTGATTTCTATTGTCAGTGTAAACCATTAAGGAAAAAGAGATTAGGAACACCACCAGAATCCAGTAAGTCCTCATGAGCCTACCCTTCTAGTCAATGCAAGGAGATCAGGATATCTACCTGAAGAAAGAAAAAGCAAAGCCTGGTGATAGTTGAACACTCCTTTAATCTGATTTCAGGAGACAGAGATATGTGGATCTCTGTGACTTCAAAGTCAGCCTGATCTAAAGAGCAAATTCCAGAACAGCCAGGGCTACAGACAAACATTGTCTCAGAGAACCAAAGGGGGGGGCAATGGAAGGAAGGAAGGAAGGAAGGAAGGAAGGAAGGAAGGAAGGAAGGAAGGAAAAGAAAATGTTGAGTCCAGATTTGGAGGTTTCATGAACTTCTTATTGTTAGAACATGGGCTTAAATCTGAGGCCAGATCCCAAAATCTTTAGGTCAAGCCCCACCTCCCAGATGCTCTGTGAGACAATTAAGATGTTGTCTGTTAGCTGCCCTAGCAGCAGCTCCCAACTTATGAACCTAAGCAAGATCTGTCACTTATGCTAAGGTGAACTAAATCACATGATAGGAAACTTTCCTCCTGAAGGAAAAAAAGAAATAAAAGGAAGACATGACTGCTCCTACCTATGGTGGAGGAGATGATTTATTGTAGATAAGAGGGAGAAAACAGAGGCATCCAGAAGGGTCCAGAGTGAACATGACCAGCAAACTGAACTGGCCCTGTGAGGAGAGGAGCCAAGAGTGGTGGCCAAGAGGCCATGAGCCCAATAGGCAAAAGGGCCTGTGTAGCCACAATGACTGGGTTATATAGGAAAGAGAAGCTGAGGGAAGGGCAGCCCAGCCCAGCCCCTGGGCTGGAGAATATAGGAAAGGGGTAAGGTGTGCCAGGTACTGGCTTTGCTGAGAGAATGGCAGCCAGTGTCTGCTTTGATATATTAACAACTTTCTTCCTGAGACCTAGCTTCTAGGACCTTCAGCACTAAAAGATCCTATCAAGCCAGTCTTTCCCTTTGCCCTGGGGACCAGCCTGAGTCTCCTCAGTGAGGAGGGAGGCTGAGAAGATTATCGTGTAGACCTGCTCTCTGAGGAGGGTCCTCTGTCTGCCCTGCCATTCCTGTCATGGCAGCTCTCTCTCTAGTCTTTCCTATTTCTCTTTAGTCCTCCCTATCTCTCTCTAGACCTCTCTAGCTCTAGTCCTCCCTCTCTCTGACACACACACAGATTCTTCTTCTTTATAAATCTCCTGTCCAGGTTGTAAAGAGAAGGCTCTCCTTCCCTGGAAGCCTCTTCATACCCCATGAAGGGATGAGCCTCACAGATTGTATTGTTTGTATCTAAAGATCTCCATCCCAGCTGGAGGTGTGATCTTGGCCTTGAGGCCTCCTCGTTCTAATCAAGCTCACTAGAGGGAATTGTGTGTCAGGATCGTTCATGGACTTAGCACTGCTGCTCATGTGACCACACTGCAGAGTGACTATGGACTAACCACTGCTCATGTGACCACACCTCAGAGTGACAATTGACTAGCTGCTCATGTGACCACACTGCGGAGTGTCTTGTGAACAGGTGATGGAGGGAACACAATTCTATCAGGACATTTCCATTGTTCAGACAACAAATTGTGTGGTGTGTTGTGAGACCTATATCAAATGCCCAAGGCAGGGCAGGCAGGGAGTAGAACTCTCCACCTATTCATGTGGCATGCGCTCAGCAAGGTCATCGATCATTGTTGAAGTAAGCTCATCAGCTCAGTAGCACCATGCATTGCCTGCTTTTCAGGTTAGAACTGTAGTGCTTTAACAGTGTTGGGGACGGGTGGTTAACGTTCTAAGACACAATCATAGAAAAGAGGCAATTCTTAAAGTCATTGACTTGCAGTTTAAATCCCCATTGTGTATCAAGATGAAGAATGGATGCAGTCTCATGGACCAACAAGACTGTCCCAAGTACAGTTAGGACATGAATCCTGATGGTCTTGAATTAAGATTCATTTTAGGACTTCATCTAAGCAAATAATGTTGTTCTGTGCCTCAAAAGAGATATTTAAGTCTGGGTTTGGTTTGGTTGAGAATACACACCCACATTCTCCACACTGGAGTTAAGAGGCAGGAGGATCAGGATAACATGACTATCAGAGGACAGCCTGAGATACACAGCATTACATCTTTAAACAACTCGAAGCCAGTGTTTAAACAAACGTGTTTATAAGAACTTTCTGGGCCACGTGTAGGTGGCTCATGCCTTTAATCCCAGCACTTGAGAGCCAGAAGCAGGTGGATCTCTGTGAGTTCAAGGACAGCCTGGTCTACACAGTGAGTTCCAGGACAGGCTCCAAAGTAATACAGAGAAACCCTCTCTCGAAAAACCAAAATAAATAAATAAACAAAAAATTTTCTAGCCAGGCAGCGATGGAACAGTCAGGCAGTGCTGGATGGTGGTGGTGCATGACTTTGATCCCAACACCTGGGAGGCAGAGGCAGGCTGATCTCTATGAGTTCAAAGCGAGTCCTGCAGCCTGGTCTACAAAGTGAGTTCCAGGACAGGCTCCAAAGCTACACAGAGAAACCCTGTCTCGGGAAAACAAACAAACAAAAGAACTTTTTGTTTCCTTGCTCTAGGAAAAGAAGAAATTACTAGCAAACAGAGGACTCAGTTCACTTGCAAGAAACAAGGAAAGGAAACAAAGAAAGCTTACCTGGTTTAACTTCCAATGAGAAGGTCACTTTGAGATCATTGAACCATCCAGGGACCTCTACTCGACAACAATACAGACCACTGTCACTCTGGACAACATTCTCTATTGTCAAGGACACATTTCCTCCGGAAATATTCCCCTTGAGCTGATATCTATTGTTCCTCTGATAGGTGACTCTGTGTCCATTGGTCCAGATAAGTGTGTTTACACAATTAAAAGATGGGCACTGCCCTCGGCCCCAGCATGTAGTAGAGACTCCCCGAAGTGTTGGGTAAGTACATGGCAGTGTGACAGGGCGACCCAGCACCGCCTTCACTACTGTGTAACAATCTACAGCACCTGTGATGTAAAAACGTGGGGAAGAGAAAAGTGGAAAATTAGTACCAAACATTTTCCTAAAATTTTCTTGTTGTTTTTAGGGAAAACTGGGGGAAAGGAGGACTCAAGTGGAACCACAGCTGTTTACTTTGTTCTGTTTGTCTTATTGTTTTTGTTTTGGTTTTTTGTTGGCAGTCATAAAAAGGAATGACAACTAAATGTCTGTATCATTTGGTTTTCTGCTCCAGTGTCTCACCTTGTAGCCTTGGCTGGCCCTGAACTTGCTGCATAAACCAGGCTGACTTCAGACTCCCAGAGCTCTGCTGTCTCTACCTCCCGAAGCCTATGGTTACATATCCAGTCTTACAGCTTGAATTTGAAGACTGGAACCATTTTTTCTGTTAACATATTCTTCCTCAGTGTGACCGCTTAATGGATACATTGTGAACAAAACAAATTATTCTTTGGTAGGATATTAACACAGATACTTTTCAATTCTTTTTTCTTCTTCAGTGTGTGTTAGCCTCCAGGCACACCTTGGCCCCACCCCTTGGGGCACATGGCAAGCAGTACCCTGACTCTGTCAGCAGGAGCAAAAGGTCCCTTTAAGCCACAAGGCCCACTCACTCCTCCTCTCTCTTCCCCTCTGTTCCTCTGAAAAGGCAAGCAGGTCTCCCCCTCCCCCTCCCTCTCTCTCTTGCTTACTCTCTTGCTCTCCTTCCCTCCCTCTCCTCCCCTCCCTATCTTTCTCTCTCTCTCTCCCTCTCTTCCTCCCTTTCCCAACTCCTGTCCATTCCCCCAATAAAACTCCCCACATAAGCTGGGTCTTTATGTCCAAAGGGTTTGTCCCTCACCTGCCATGGGGCTTCCTGCCAAGTTCATTCTCAGTGTGTGTTTCTCTTGGAGACAGGGTATTGCTATATGCTTCGAACTGACTGAAAATCACAATCCTCCCATCCCTGCCTCCTGAGTGCTGGGCATTTAGCTTGTGCAACTCAGACCAGATCAATTGTTTCAGTTTTAAACATTTAAAATTTTATTTCAGAAGCCAGGCCATGGGTAACACTTGTAAACCCAGAACTCACTTGTATTCCCAGAACTCACTTGCATACTCAAGAGCTCAACTTCTATACCGAGAATTCACTGTATACCCAGAACTTGAGAGGTAAAGGGAGGAACATGAAGAATTCAAAGCCAACTTCAGCTAAGTAATGGGTTTAAGACAGACCTAGAATTTGGAGACCCTGTCTCAAACCATCCCTCCTCCTCACCCACAGTGCTTTGACAACAAAATCACTATCTCTTCCCACCTCATTTAATCAGAACAGAGCCAGGGCTTTGGAATAGCTTGTTGGCTTCAAGGCAAAACTTTAGTACCTTCAAAGTCAACTTTCAGCAAGGGTTTTAGAAAACCATAAGGAGGAAGTAAGGGTTATTCTGAACTTTATGAGTAATGCTTTACGAACAAAATACAAAACCCCAAACCAACCAACCAAACAGAAAACCCTAAGCAGAGGTCCCCTCTTACAAGTTGGTGACATTCCAGAACTTGAGAAAGACTTACTTGTGAAGACCACATAACCAGAGAAAATGAAAGCAATAACTTAATGATTCAATTTAAAAAACTGAAATAATGAAGTATAATTCTTTTGAGGATGATGGGATAAAATTTCTAATACCAGTTGCTTCTACCGTGGCCTTTAAAGGAACTCTGAGGGCTAAGGATGGAGCTCAATAATACAGAGCTTAGATAGCCCATGCCAGGCCCTGTGTTGGATCACAGTACCAAAAACAAACAAACAAAGGCACAAAATAATGAACTGTGATACTCTCTAACTAGCTACCTATGTGCAGGCCTAGGCTGTGATTATGGGACATGATCAGAGAAAGCACATTCATAATTGTACAAAATGAGTCTATTTCTTCCTGGGATACATATTACTTAATTTTACCAAATACCCTTTTTAGGGTCACATATAAAATTCATGATGCTTCACTAAGGCATAGAAATGTATTTTAGTTCTCACCAGTGATCTCATCTCTTGGGAGAATCTCGGATATAGAGGCAGGGGATCAAAAGTTTGAGGTATTCCTCAGCTAGCTGTGGAGTTAGAGGCCCTGTCTCAAAGACAATTAGGGTGTTTCTTCTTTCCCCCTTTCATAGAATGCTTTGAATTAGAACGTTTTTAAGATAAATGATTGGAAATGGGTGAAATATAAAAAATGCACAGAAAACTCTGGTTCTGATTTTTTTTTCTGAACCATTGACTATCACAGGCACGAGTGTGCACTCATCCTTACTTGTCTGTCACATGTATCATGTGTTCTCACCTCTTGCCTGACGAGTTCTTGGGGATCATGTTTATTTAGCCATGCATTTTGAAATTCATACAGATTAAGAAAGGAGCTACAATTTGTTCTGGTTCTCTGCTCACTACATAATGCATAATCAAAATATCACAAGATGGTCATCACTCCTGCCACTTCTAGATTCCTCAGCATCCCCAAACTCATCGACTCACTTACCTGGGAGAAGCAGTAAGAGGCCTGAAATGAAGACTTGAGGATGCATCATGGTGTTGACCTGAAGGACAGTGAGAAGATGCTCTGTTGTCTGTAGCACTCAGCACACTGTATCTGAGAAGATCTGCATTCTGACTATGAATCACACAGGCCTCTCTGCCAGGGACCCATGTCCTCCTGAACACTGTCCCTTCCTCACACATAGTGATCAGTCTCACTCCTAGTCATAATATAAATAAGGCAGCAATCAGAGAGAACTGAAGGCAGATACAAGAATATGTTTTCTTGGTAGAACTCTACGTAAAGACGAGCCTTCTAATGGCAAAGATGCACTTACCTCCCAATGGACACAGGACTATTTCTGCCCAGTAAATACAGTGGTTAATCCCTGAATCTCAACCACTTTAATCATTGGCAAGATGGCCTGTACCAGGAAGCTCACACATGGTGCCTAAGACCACATCCACCAGGAGGAATGTCTAGATATACAAAGAAAACTATAACTGGGTACAGATAAAAATTTCCATTGCTAGATGCCCCCCACACCTAAATTTCTTCCTAGATAAAACAGCACTAATGTTTGCTCAGATTTTTGGAGAATCTGCTGTGAAGGACGCAATGGGCTATTTACTCACAGTCACTGAATCCTCATGGAACCCCCAAGGCAGCTACTTTTAAGCAATTTATGGTGGAAGGTATGTGTCTTCAGAATTCAACATCTGTATTTCAATGTTTGTTTCTTAATTGGTAAACTATAAAAACATGAGTAAGCCTGCCCAGTACTTCATTAACTCCACTTCTGGTCAGAAGACTCCCAGACTTCCTCTCAGAGAGGACAGTGTGTCCTGTTACCAGTCTTAAAGATAGTAATGGCTTTCATGAAGCCCCCATAAGCTCAGCATCTTCAGGACTGATGTCCTGCACTATTACACTAACAGTCCTTGTACTTAGAAGAGATCAGAACACTAATGCTGCAAACTGGTGGCCAAACAATGATTTTAATGAACACCTTAAACATCTCATTTCTTTATTATAAGACAACTGTAAAACATAAAACCAAAATAAGATACAACTATCTTTCTTTTTAACATGGTAGCAACCATTCTGTCCCTTTAGAGTTCTACTGAGGAAGGATCAGGTACTTGGACATTTGCAGCCTCATACAGTGGGCTACCTTCTTGACATACACTCAATGTCACAGAGCCATCTCACAAGATGTCATGTGGCCTACTCACTCATAAAATGAAGGGAACAGACAGCGATGGTTAATAGCTTTCCAGGTTCCCAAAGGAAACCTTCTCCACATTCTGGAATTCAACTGAGGAACTAGGTAAGATCTACCATGGAGTAAGCACCTTCCTGGTGGCTGGAAATGCTTTTATTGCCTGTCTTTACATGCTTGAGAAGAACACTCGAGTCCATCTCAACTATTAAAATTGAGCTGTAGTTCCTTGTAGAATCCACACATGTGGAGATCCTGCAGGATGACTGTGGAGGGATGGAAAGTTGAAGTTCAGGAATCACAAATAGCATAAAATATCTCCAGTCCCTCAGTAGCCATTTACTATGAATCTCTGCTTCTGAAAAAATCCTGTGATGATCAGGAACAACTTCTGGAACATATCACTACATTTTCACACAACTTCCCCCAACCCTGTAGCTAAGAATTATAAGATATCAGCAATCTATGTAAGAGTGTTCTGTGTTCTGTTGTGTCCCAACTGCCTGATGTTCCCACCAGGTATATGCATTGATGAAGGTGCCAAAGGACACACATGGTCAGAGGACAGCTGTGTGGACGAGGCTTGTCCTTCTATAATGCCAGTTCTGAGGGTTGATGTGAGGTCCTCAGGATTGGTTGCCAGCACCTCTATCTACTGAAGCATCTCATGGCCTCAAGGGCTCTTTTATACCAAAAGCTAGGAGAATAAATGCTAAAGTGGCTCACATAGAATTATTTCTTCATTTGAAAAAATGTTTTAATGTTAGTTTTACTGTGACCTCTGATCAGGCCAAATCCCAATGTCTGTAAGAAGGATTTTGAAAAGATTTTTATTTCATTGCAGTGATCATTAATAAACTAAGGATGGGGGAGTATGATTCAGTACAATAGGGATGTAAAAACTCCAGAGTTGTGCAAGCAATGTACAGGGGAAAGTGACCAATCAACAGATAAATTCACAAGCAATGAGACAGATGGTAAATGTGTAATCAGACCTTGTCATGTCCCACTGACAACGCTACCTCAGTTCTCTCAAGGAGTAGGGACTCAATTCATTACCTGGAGATCTTTGCAAATGTCCCAGTTATCCAGACACTGCCTAGGGCTCAGATTTTCTTTCAAAGCTTCTTGTCCCAGAGCTACCTGGGCTTTCTTTCCAATTCATTTCCTAAGGTCCTTGTCCAGGTGGTCTTCTGTCTTTGCTCTTCTTCCTTAACCCCACAGTTATCACTTTTTCCCCTTTCTTAGTATCCCTGCTTAAGAGTCTGGGACATTTCCTGGATCATCTGTAGTCTAAACAGCCATCCAGCCTCTGTCCCAGATCTTAGTTGATCATGACTATCACGTCCCGGTTTCCCTGAGCATTCAACATCGTAGGTGTGATATCCTGGTCTCTGCATCTTCCCTCTGGTCCAGTGCCACCAAATAGAACCTTATTTGTTATATCTTTTTGTTTTAGCAGAGCTAATATGAGTTTATTAGTGAAAAGCAAATAGAAGCTTCCAAGATTAGAGAGGCCCCAGTTGAGGTATACTGGAATACTCTAGAACTTCCCCCTTTTTTGAAGTAGGGTTTCTGCCCTCTTTCATTCAATCTCTCTCCATCTCTCTGTTTGTCTATCTGTCTCTGTGTGTGTGTGTGTGTGTGTATGCACGGGAATATGCATGTGTACATACACACTATGTATGTATGTATGTATGTACATATGTATGTATGTATGTATGTATGTGTATGTCTTGCCTGAAACTCACTGAAAGTTCAGTTGAAACTCATGACAGTCTTTCTTCATTCATCTCTAGAAAGCTGAGATTACTGTGTTTGTCACCATGTCCAGTTATCAATAGAATTATCTCTGATGAGGGTGTCATTATGGATGAGCTCTGTGCAGTATTGTAGCTACCAGTGACTGATCTAACACTGGAAATGTGTCTAGTACAAGTGAGTAAAAACAGTTTGTTGAAACAGCATCTCTATATGTAGCCCTGGCTGGCCTGGAACTCACTCTGTAGAACAGGTTGCCTCAAACTCACAGATATGTGTTGCCTCTGCCTCCTCAGCACTGGGATTAAAGGTATGTGTCATCAAACCCTGCCAGATTGAGAATTTTTTTTAAAGATTTGCTTTTATTATTTCTTAAGTTATATATTTCTCTGTGTGGCTATGTGCACCTAAGTGCAGGTGCTTACTGAGCCAGGGGACAATAGAACCTCTAGAACTAGCATTACAAGTAGTTCTGAGACAACAGAGGTGGTTGATGGGAACTGAACACACCTCCTCTTAATTCCTGAGTCATCTCTCTGGCTTCCATTTGAGTAGACTTTATTTTAATTTTTCATCTAATTGGATTTTAATTATTAGTTATTAACATGACTTCAGAGCTGTATGGCACCAAACTATAGCTTATATATTTCTTTGAAGTAATTTAAGTGTGGATAAAAGAGATGAACAAATGGAAATTTAAGGGTATAAGAAGAGACAACTCAGGGCCGGGCGGTGGTGGCGCACACCTTTAATCCCAGCACTCGGGAGGCAGAGGCAGGCGGATCTCTGTGAGTTCGAGGCTGGGCTGGACCGATAGCCTCCAAAACAATACAGAGAAACCCTGTCTCGAAAAACCAAAAAAAAAAAAAAAAAAAAAAAAAAAAAGAAGAGACAACTCCCTCATTCAAGGTTAGCAAGGTAGGAAGATAGGAGGCAATCTTTTAAAAATTGACACGTGAGACTCAGGAGTGATGGCACCTATATGTGATCCCAGCACACATAATGCTGATGCAGGAGGATTGCCATGAGTTTAAGGGCAGTCTGCTCTACATAGTACATACTAATCTATGCAAAACTAGAGAGTAAGATTCTATCAATAAAGGAAAAAGCAACATGTGAGCCAGACTTGGTGCACACTTCTGTAATCCCTGGAGAGGCTGAGGCAGAAGGATTGGTGATGATGGGCTAGCCTGGGCTATATAAAGGAAAAAATATAAAGAAGCAAAACTGAAACGAGTGAGAGGTGAGGCTAAGATCTTAAGGAAGACGGGTGAAGGACAGAAGGTGTCAGAATTAAGGAAATGATGAAGATGGGAGCTGAAAAACGGAGGCATTAAATAACTACAAATCCTTAGGGTTCAATTTCCCCACACTGTCCCTTAGGCTTCACAAGACAAGCACTGTATCTTAACATTAAAGAGAATGTAACCCAGTAGAGTTTCTTGCTATTTATCACTCTTGTAATAAACTAACTACTACTGTCTGTGAATGTGGGCATGCCATGGAACTCATGGAAAGGGGAGATAACTATCAGAAGTTGTTTCTCTCCATTCACCCGTTTTAGGATTCCAGGATGAAAATCAGGTGTCAGGTTGGCCAAGCACTTTGATCCCCTGAGCCTTCTCAGGGATGATAGGATTTTGTTTGTTAACTTGAGCTTTGCAGTCTTCCTGAGCCACTATAGTTTAGGGTCAACTTTGGCATCCTATGAAGGTTACTCATCTGTTGCAGGGAGTTCTGCGTGATGCCAGGACTCAGGTGTGAGAGCAGAATTCCTAGTTCCTTACTAAAGAGTTCATCTGTGGAAAAATGGGGATAACACACTGCCCAAAGCCACCTCAGCTGAGCCTCTGTTCTTTCTTGCTGCCACCCTCTCTGAGATAGTTCAACTGCTTCATGTTATATTCATAAAAGTAAGACCCCACTGGTCCCCTACACTACCGGGTACTCATTGAATCTCTCCATTGCTCCCAACCCCACCACTTTATTTTAGGATTCTACCCATAACCAGATTCCTGAAATCCCCTCCAGGGCCTCCTTATGTCACAGAGCCCTGTGTCAACCCTGCT